GCTGCGAGTGTAAAGTCAAGGAGCTTCACGGAAGATATGAGCGCGGCCCTCCTCTCATCCTCTTTTACATCTTTATAGAGGAGTAGCTCGTAAAACTGTAGTCGCATCACCGAATCCATATGGACGTGTCGAATTTTCTCAAACGCTGCGGTGGCTGCGGTTCTGGTAAGTGTTGGCGCAGATAGTGTTTCGGCAAGCGTCAAACTCTTAGCGGCGATTGTTATCCTCAACGCTTCACCATCACGCTCGTTAACATTGGCGCCGTGCTTGAGCAGAAGTTTGGGCAGAGCTAAGTCTAGAGAGTCTTTCCGAACTCGCTCGATCAGTGCCTCAGACGCCTGGCCTTCGTCTACACCTGCAATCAAGAGAAGCTCATATATGGGATACTTGGCTGAACTCTGGTCATCAATCTTTCGGGCGGTCGTGAACGCTCTTGCAATGGACCGAGGGGATGGCTTGGAAGACATGAGCAACTCCACGACTGGCACCGACCTTGCTGCTACGGCGTTGTTCAAAGCCTCCCCATTGGAACGATCCACGGATGCATTATTTCTGAGAAGAAGTTCAAGAAGCTTCCTGTCATCCGTTCCGTTGCGCAATTCTTGAGTTACGTGAATAAGAGCTTGACTTTTGCCAATATCTGTTCCCGTAGTCTTCACCTGCAGCAGTCTTTCGATCAGAGCGTACCTGGCTCCCAATGGTCTGACAGCAAGCGCCCTGACTAGTCCTGCCGCTAGCGAAGCTATACTCGGCTGTCGTTGAAGCAGGCCTTCAGTGGCAGATAAATCTCCTCTGGCTATCGCATACTGTATGACAGCACCACCACCAGCGTCGACTTCAGCCCCAGCATCAAGAAGCAAACGAATAATTTCTTGACGTTGAGAATGCTTCTCGAGTCTTTCACTGCTGAGCTCTTTTTCCAGAATATCTTTATGTGGTCTTGTAGCTACGAGTAGTACAATCATCTTCTCCTTGCTGAAAACAGGTGCTGCAAGCACGTAGTCAAGAGCTTCTGCGAGGGCTTCCTTTGGTATCGTAGAATTCTGACATATCAGTCGAAGAGGATCTGTCCGTCCAAGCTTAACAGCTTTGTCTACTGCTGCTGCAGCAGGCGGACCTTCAAGTCCTGGTACAAGAAGAGCTTTCAAGACCTGGAGCGCTTCGTCTCGTGTAATAGCTTCGAGGATAGTGTTGTGTATATGAGGTCCACGGGCACCACATTCAACCAACAATGTAACAATCTTCACTACATTTGTATAATTTGAGCCCTGCCAAGCTTCATATGCCTTCGGCACCGCTCTGCTTGTAGTATCAGAGGCCGGGTCAAGAGCACATAATCGTTGAACTAGGTCCAGATCAGCTCGCCCAGCTGCAATGGATATGCAATTTGCACTACCATCCCTATAGTCGACCGAGGCATGGAGTTGTATACAGCAATTGACGAGTTTCAGTTGAGATTGCCTTACTGCCCATAATAATTGTCGAGCTAGGGCATCTTCAAGGGGTCCTTTGCGCGATAGTGATTTTACGATAAGAAGACGCTGCTCTTCCCCGGTACTTTCAGGAATTAGATCAACTGCGCCAGGAAGAACATTAGACGGGATACTGGCGCCCATGAGGATTGTGAATAGGTCCAGCCTGAGGGACTTGATAGTCTCTCCTAATGAGTCTGCTTCTGAAAAGTGTGGAGGTACTCCGTGTTTCACGAGCAACTTGACATGATCTAACCGGGTATTTCGCACGTCCGAGAGAAGTTGTTTTCGAAGCTCCCGAGTATTGGGCTCGGCACCAGCAGACAAAAGAAAGTCCAATATCTTGTAGCGGCGCTCGTCATTCGTATCATTGACTGCGGAAGTGCTGGCTGCTGATCCTTTGTCGGCAGAAAATGCTCTTTGCCACGAGTGTCGAATACCATGAGACAGGATCGCTATATTTTGGAGATTGTATCGTCTTGTTGCTGCCAATAAGAGCTCATAAAACTCATTAGGTGTAGGTTGGATATTGATAATGAATGTAGCCAGAGCTACGGACAGATCTGTCTCGTTCGAATGTGCTTTCGCCGCCTTTTTCATGCCGTTCCAGGCATGAGATCGCTCGGGACGTTTGGGGGCGGATAGCCACAATTCGACGAAGTCAAAGTCTGGAGGTTGCTGTTGCAGTGCGGCCTCGAAAAGTTGGCGTGAATCGGGAAATAATGCACCATACGCTAGAAGCACCCTACAGACTGCATAGTCCTTAATGCCTAGGGCCCGGACTAGAGCCGAATCTACGCATTGCTGCGTGACGCCGGAGTTGCAGATGAGACTGAGCATGTCAACTGACCTTCTATCAACCGCTAAGCCTAGCCAAGGGCAGGATATACTAGTCCGAGAGAAGAGTTTATTCTTTTCCTGCTTCTTTTGTAAGTCCCGGTCGTTTGCGTGTTCCCACAATTGCTGAAGTGTGTGATGGTATCCATGATCGATTAACGCCTGAGCAACGCCAGGGGAAGTCCAGTCCGGCTGGTTGAAGTACGTGTTGAGAGAACTCGCAACCTCGAACAAGTTGAACTCCCAATTATCTGGGTTCGCTTTCTCTTCTGTCTTCTCCTTGGACCGAAACAAATTCCTCTTCTGTTTCAAAGGATCTGACCAATGTGGATCGCTTCTTCGGAAACTGGTCAAACGATCTCGAGCAGCGGAAACATCTATTGTTGAAGGCTGGAATCTGGGCACCTGTGGTTGTAAGACAGAGTATTTCTTTCCTTGAATCACTTGACTAATTCCCAGAAGGGTGAGTAGATCCGTCGAAGGCGGCATCCTCTGTCGGTATTAAGCCACTCACATTCAGGTCGAGCCATCACTGTAAAAGATGGCGCTGAAGTGTCCTAAGGTCATGCAGACTCAGGGTATATAGATATCTCGAGCCTAGGCAAGACTCTATGCCAAGGATTCGTGGTTCCGGCCAGCCTCGCCTGATCGCGCTCGGAGGTACGCCCGTCTAATCTGCTTTCACGATCTTCAACCACCACCCGAGACAATTATTCAACGATAGGAATATGAATGCATAAGCGCCTGCGTCCCGCGCAGGAGTGCCTGAGACGATTTTTCATAGCGACTTAGGAGCTGCGTGGCGTTCATTAGACGATAATAGAGCCGGGTTGAAGGTGCCTTCAATAGGCCAGCTGAACATCCTGGACGCCAAATGCGGGAGGATTATCAGCCATACTCGCAGGGGGTCTCGATTGCTATCCAATGACATCAAGTCAGTATCCCTTCAGCGCCTGACAAGTAGAGAAAGTCCACATTAGCACCCATTCGGCTAATGAGTAGGGGTTGGTGGCCCCCAAGTTCGCTGTAATGGTAAGGCATTATCATGACCGTTTGTAAGCATAACTACCTAGCCTACAGCCTTGTGTATCACAGTCGCTGCATGGACTAGAAATGCCGAATGCCCGGTTTGGCATGGGTGGTGAAGTCTTAACCTATCCAATGGCTTCAGTTCAGGTGTTCTTCCTTACTCACTCTCAATTCTAACCCCGTTGAAGAAGACAAGACAAAAGTGCGGGCTCCAGGCCATCGAGGTCTTGAATGGAGCCCTTCAGCATTATCTTAGGAGTTTGGGGGGCGATAATGGCGACGATATCGGCCTTCAATGACGGCAAGAAGCTGTGGAAGTCTTGGAGGGAGAAGCGTCGGTTGAAGAAGCAAGCAGCAACTTTTCTGTATTCCCAGGCTTGTGAGTTGCCTCAGATGCCCCTCAGGAACCCTTCATAGGTTGACAGAAGTAGCTGGCATTGGGCAAGACCCCCGAATAACACCATTTACAACCTCTCGATCAAGTCTGGCAAGCGAGGGCCTATATGATCCGTATGAGGGAACTGACCACTTGGACGACAATCTGACGACATCGCCTCGCACTGTTCAGACCGAGTACACGCGACTCTCCAACGCGACCGGTCCGCTCTTCAGGAAAGGCGACGACATCTCTTTCGGCCAGATCAGGGACGGCTTGTCTAGGTTCAAGAATAATCTCATGCAGACTATTCGGCAAAGTATGGCAGCGATCACCATCATTGACCTCAATGTCTCGAGTCTGATGGGCACGACCAACGTGTTCCGCCATGACAACATCAACGCCATGACCGGCCTTTTCCAACGCGTCAATGTTGCGCGGCCGATACCACGGACACTAAGCCCAGGTATGGTGCCTATCGTGCAAGTGAACACTTTCACAACCGCAGTGAATGACGGCTCGAACTGCTGGTGCCGCCAGGCGGCTAATTCATCGTCGCTCTTCGTCTGCCCTTTCTGTGGCACCGCAAATGAAGCATCATTATGAAATGAATAGTAGCAAAGAATCGCCCCAAGAACTGAGAAGCCGCACCTGTGGCAGTTGAGAGTGACGAGAGTAGCGTCGAGGTGAAGTGAGGGAGTGATGTTGTGAAGAGGTCAAGATATAGTCTTACTAGACCCACTTTTATACCCGCTCCGGAGTTCAAGTCGGCGTTGATGGAATAGGTTTCATACCTTCAATATGCTGGGAAGTTTATGGTGGCTAGTACGGACTAACGACAGTCGTATTCTTAGGCAGTTCCAAGGCCCAAGGAGTATTCTCACCTTAGCTCAGTCTTGCAGCGACTGAGTACTCATGATCCAATAGACAAAGATTCACCGTTACTTTCCAAGTACCGATAACTGTACACAGGTATTCGAATTTCTGTAACTAACTTGAAGAGAGGGTATATCGTAATCAATCATTCGATCCTTTGCGCCAGAACATCTCGAAACCAGACCAACCAAGTCCTTACACGTGCTTTTAAAGCCCCTTCCGAGGTCTTATCGAAATACGACCGAGTTTCCCTGCCCAAAGCCTAACAAAATCTGGCATGAAAGATACCAAGCCGAACCATTTAATCTGAGCGAGGCCTCAGACCTTCTGGTTCTGCCATCCCGGTTTGCTATTCAGTTCATCGGGGACAAATGATATGGCAAAAATTCAAGGCCGCCGTCCTAGCATCTTTACGCCCTTATCAGCCCAGTGATGTCACGCATCCGGTAGTCCAGGACCGGGGTAATCCAATCATCCTCAACCAAGGAGTAAGTCTCCTTGGAGTTCTCCTTGGGCTTGCGCGGATTGATAGCCCAGTAACCAAAGTCGGCATCAATCGCCTTAAGGTATCGCAGCAGGTTCTTCCAGTAATGGGCATCGCCTTGCCCGGGGTGTTCCGGTGCCCCGAACTCGCCGATCCACACCGGCGCCAGGTTTCCCTCGACGAGATACGCCCAGTTGTAGCGCATCGACTTGGCGAAGCTCGCGTAGCTGCGTTTACTGTACCGCCCGTCGTAGCTACCCCAGCCAGACCAGGCATAGACATGCGCCGAGTAAACAACCCGATCGTCGAAGTCAAGCTCTACCGGCCGCCGCTCCACGCCAGAAAGATCATTGCCGGACTCGGTGCCCCCGACGACGATCAACCAGTCTGGATTCATCTTGAGTAGTCGATTGCCCGCCATCTCTGCGGCCGTTGCCCACTTCTCCCATGGCATGGTTCCCCACAGGCCCCGAACCTCGTTCCGGAGGTCGGCTCCGATGACCAAGGGATTCCCTACGAAACGATCCATGATTGTTTCCCAGTTCTGGATCCATCCCTCTTCGGTCTGCTGGACACGGCACAGCGGGCCAAGATGATCATTTGCCCAGCCGGCGTCGCAGGGATCGGCACCGCAGCACCAGGTCGCGCTCGTGATGTGGTTGTTGATGATCACCGCGATGCCAGCGTCCGTCAATGTGTCTACAACAGCCTCGAATATGTCCAGCGCCCTCAAGCCAACCAAGTCCGGGTTCGCAGTCAACAAATGTGGCATGATCTCCGGATTTGTTATGACCATCTCGTCGGCGTACGGTAACCGGACCGAGTTGAAGCCCAAGTTGCGGATCGTCTCAGCAATTGTCTCCCTATGTTGTATGTCTAGGCCAGAAGGAACAAACAGCTCATCCGAAGCGCCGTACCAATTGATGCTTGCCAGCTTGAACCTCCGCCCTGTCATGTCCACTATGTCCCTTCCCTTTGTCCTTAGCGGTAGGGTGTACGACTCAATGCTCGTCTCGGGCAGCGGGGCTGGCAGCGGCACCTGGGCGAACTGCCTCGATGCCGGATCCGGGACCCATGGAGCCGCCAGGGCGGCCTCGGCCCTCCATGCCCAGTGGAAGAATCCGCCGACGATGAGCAAGGCGAGGATGACGAACATCCGCGCCGAGTTGGAATCGAGATGGAAGCTCGGCATCGTGTCGCAAGACAGGCTTTGAGATTAACAGCACTCGCCTGGGCTCGACGGTGTCACACACTGATCAGCCGGGTCAGAACGAGCGGCGCCGGCGAGGTCGGCAGGATTGGGGGCTTTTAATAAACATTGTTCACCCAGCAAAACACTTAGTAATGAAGCGCCACCTTGGCGTGTGTAGGAAGGACATTGGTAAGGCAGGATTGAGCAAGGCCTGCCATTCGTTTTCGGACCGGAACGATTGGAAAGCTTACAGAGCGTACCCAGCTCGTGCTCGTGTGCGCTTTCTCTGAGTGCGGCGGATGTCTCGGTATCAATCGCGCATCGGAACGCATGGATGGCAAGTCAGGCAGTGGCCCCTCACAAGCTTCGGCCAACGAATGCGCGAGCCTGCCACCCCACCATGCAGTTGAAGTGCCGTGGCCGCCGCTGCAGCCCAGCGGTGTGTTGGTCTGGTATGGTGTATGTGCTGTTTGTGTGGATTGGATCCGGGAAACGGCACTGTCATACGTTCTACTCTAAGTATGCTAGTCACGTAGTAAAAGATTCTATGATGAGTATAGGTAGTGAGATACTAGGTATGGCATAAAAGTGTGAGGACGCTGGTAAATCGCGTACTTCAGGTAGTCAACGCGATAATAGGTGTACTTTTGTATTGAACGCCGTGATACTTTGAAGAAGGAAGCCTGGACTTTGAATTTGGTCTCTATCAATCGTGTCTGGGACTGGCGGCCATATGACGTGATCTAGCAAGTGTCCGGCTTGCTCGGACTGTTCCATGATGGTAGCATTTTGCTACTTGACATTGGCCACTTCAGCAGCCTCCAAGATAGAGATCTCGGCTTAGGGTAGGTAGAGATATGCTGTCTCCCCCGCTTGCTCTGCAAGTCATACGAGGTCACAGACCAGTTACCCCGGATTGAGCAGATCCTCCTCCCGCTCTGCATTCCGACCACCTCTTAACGCTTCAAGCCGCTACCACATAGTCAAGGGTGCGTCAATCGAGGACATGGCATGTAGTTGCGAAAGTATCACTGTAGTAGGCCAGACGATAGTTGTGTTGGCTTAAAAGCTTGAATTATCGTCACAACCAAGGGAAACTTATTGTAAGGTTTATAGTATATACAAGCAATGGTAGGCAAGAACCAAGTCCTTCGGACATTTCATACCTCCTCGCACCCCGTTTACCCCGAAGCACGCTTCCTAGTCATGGCCGACTAGGCTCTTGCTTCCCCACAGGCAGCGCCGGTAGTGACTGGCGATTATGATGATCATGATGGCCCAAGTCTCAATCAGGTCAGCCCAGCCCATCATGCATTCAGCTGATGGGTACTCAACAAACCATTGTCGCTATGTTCCACTTCAGTAATGACTAACCGAGTAGACTGATGACTTGATTATGATTTGTGTTGTACGGTGCTGTGCAACGCGGCTGTTCCCAACCCTCAATAGAGACCGAGGACCCAATACCTTCCTAGGCATGTATCTCGTTACTCAAAACCATAGTCTGAGATAGGCATATCATCGTCATCCACACCGTCACAGCCCTTCCACACAGCCGATAGGTCCATAATTGACCTGCCCCGACACGTCTGACACCGCCCACCGCCCATTAACAAAGACCGCCCACCATTCCATCACAGGTGACACCACAATGGAAAAGGTTCCGCGACTCCGCACACCTTTCCAATAAGATAATATAAGGGGTAAGGTCTTTGTAAGAACCGTGTCTATGCATTTCCATCACACAATAAAATAAACATGATTTGTCCCGTTGACGCCGCGCTTGGTGGTCCGCCCGAATCCTGCATCCGAGAGACGAAAATGACAGTGGGTGTTGTCCTCGTTGTTGTGGTACAGACGGAGGAGATACATACATGGGCCAATTAGGTGTGTGGCCCCCACTGAGAGATAAGTTTTCTGTTATGCTGCTGTGGTGTGCGACAAATAGGTGAGCGCACGCGAGTGCATTCGTGAGATCTTCATGGGTTGATTTTTGTTCGTAGGTAATTTGGCTTTGTACATTCGGATTTTTTTTTTGTTTGTTTGTTGTTTTTCACTCTTTTCTCGGCCTCGTCATCTGCTTCATATTCTGTTCATGCCTAGAGGGTTCATGTCCTCATAGTCTTCGCCGTCACGGGCACGGCCGCCGAACATCTCTCGGGAGTCCCAGGTGACCTGCTGTGGCGGTCTCGGGCTGGAGAATGATCTCGCTGGGGTGTGATATCGGGCTGTCTGGCCAAAGTAATCCGGGGTCCGTCTCCCGCTGGTCGGGCTCGCGGGAGACCTCATCGCCGCCGGTGAAACAGGACTCACTACATCCGGGGTTACTACGTCGTCCACCATGGTCTTCCCGGAATCCCGGGATAACATTTCGTACGAACGTTGGTCTTTCTTAAGATCGTCGAGGCGAGCATCGACGGAGACAAACTCCCGCTTGCTACGGCTGGGAGACTTTGTCACAAATTCAAGCCAGCCAGTCACCATGGACCAGCGGCCGAGTAGGAATAGGAGCCAGAGGCCGTTTATCTGACCATTTGTTAGCATCACGTTGGTAAGTTTGCAGAGGGCTTGTAGAGGCATACTGCCAGGAGCAACAATACGGCACCAACAGTCGCTTGGTTAACGACTAAGCTACTGGCTTTGTCCAGGCACTTGGTTTTGTCACCCAGAGCTTGGACCAAGCAGACAATCCAGTCTTCTGCCTTCGTGGGGTCTTTCTTGACAGCTTCGACTGTGTTGTCCTGGAAAACAAAGATGACGGAGAAGAAGATGACATCGGCAACAATGATCAAAACAATTGCAATGCCTCGCCACTGCAGTTGAATGACTCTTCGTACTCGGCGATAGGCCTGGCGAGGTGTCATGGTACGGATGCTGTTAGTGTACGAGGGAAGGTTCGAGCCTTCGGTCGAGGCGCTGTTATCTGCCAGAGACGCCAAGTAGACCTTGATACAGTAACCGAATGTCGCAAATTGGATAATGATAGTGAAGCCGGCGAATACCAGAAGAGGGATCCACAGGTCTGCAAGACTGTTCTTGTGGTTGATGTGGCAGGTTGAGCCAAATCGGAAGGAAACACCACTAAGAGTCAGAGCCAGGATGATGCCAATGATGGGAATGCCCCAGCCTGCGAATTGTGAAGCCCACATGAACCTCCGGCCAACTACAACCTGCCAGCAAATCTGGAGGTGCAGAGACAGAGATCGTAGGAAAACCCACATGATACCCGACCAGCCACCCAGGAGAAGGAGGGTGCCGGAGGCGGCGCAGACAGAGCTAGACTTCATACCGTTAGGTGTGATTGTGTCGAAGCACTGATCCGGTTGCGCTGCGAGAGGAACCACGAAGCCAAGCTATGCCCTAATATCAGTTCTCCAAATCTTCGATGCACAGCCATCAGTTGGACTCACGTTCATGAGGAGCACACCGGTAGTAAGGCAAATACTTAGGTAGTGCCGGTGTGTCTTCTCAACGGGAAGGAAGGCCCACGAGGCCAGGAGAAATACACAGCAGATCGTGCTCACAACTGCGACCCATTCCGCTGCAAGACCCAAGGTGTTGAAGGTGTCAGGATAAGTCCAATCGGTCATCGGGCAAGGCAGACAGCATGTTAAAGAGGACCCAATTTGCTGACATATTCTGCCGTCAACAACTATATATGAATTAGTAGCTTATTCTATAACCCTCTAAGACATGAACTTACAGCCTCCCGTGCTGTTTACATATTTCGCAAGGTTTACGAAAGGTGCTGGGCAGAGCGAGTCAAGTAGATCGGTCGACATGTTTGCGTTTGTTCTTGGGTTATTCACCCAAGTAGTTGCGTATGCTCCGTTGTTTATTCTCTTCCGTCCAACCAGTCACTCGGAGTTCCAACTATAAAGAGACCAATGCAACTCGACTCTCGGGACAGCCAAATTCGGTAGTAGATATCAGGTTGGTAAGTTGAAGCTTTTAAGCTATGAGATATTTTTAGACTCTCATGAGCCCATCGAAGGTCATCAAGATATCGATCGGCGTGATACCTTTATTGTATATGTTCGTCAAAGGCGGACAGGATTCGCAGGAGCCACCGAGGCGGGTATATAGCAGCAAGCAATCTAAGGAAGGAGAGGTCGAAGGACGGCAGATAGAGATGATGGGATTAGGATGTACACATGGTACGCTTGATCTCAAGTGCACCAATACACGGATGAGGCAGATCTCAAACAAGGAGACACCTCGTTGGATTACCTTTTTGAGAAAGTATGAAGACAAGACAAATAAGGAGAGGAGATGTCAGGTTCACCCATCGCCGGAAAAAAAGAGACAATGGGAAAGGTAAAGGAGGGTGTGGGACATATGTACGGCACGGTAGGGCGAGAAGAGCCAAAGAGAGAGCCACATCCATGGGGCGAGCGGCGGCCAGCGAGATCTCACCAAGATGACGGGGGTGACCAGGGGTCTGGTCGCGATGGGTCTCTAGGTACCCTCCTTAAACTCGACTTGCACAAGCCCGAGGAACGGCCCTGCTAACGGTGGACCCAAGGACCTTGGGGAAATACGGGCCTTCTCTCTTTGGCACTAGCACGGAGGTCTTGAGAGGGTCGGTCCCTCGCTCGAGGTCACAAAAGCCGGGACCAATTGCTGGCCGCAATGCTGGCTACACGATCAGAGGTACATTGCCCGGTATTGTACTCCATGTCAATCAATACGGCACGGCTGGCTGTACTAGAATTTTCGACGACGGAGCATGGCGCTCATCATCCACTCGAGTACTCTACCGTACCGTAGTTAGTGTGCATGGAGCATTGGCAGCGGGACTTGTCCTGCGGCGCACGAGAGGGCATTGGGTCCTCTCCCACTTGGTGGACTATCCAGCCCTTTTTCACGCGAGGAGAGGAGACGCAAAGGGCGTCTGATTGGGACGACATGAGCAACGAGTTCTTTGTAGTGTAGAGGGTAATGAGCCGGGGGTCCAGGGGACCAGTCACAATGGAGAGGGCTTCGATGGGTCTCTCCCAGGTCCGGGGGTGTTAAGTGTGGTGCCTCTCGAGGTGGTCTCCGTCGCGGCGTGTGTGTGGTGTGTGTGGCTCTCAAGGGTGTCCAAGGGTGTCTTACCAGGGGCGAGCCAAGCAGCGGGCCTGGGTCGCGAGGCCCGCCAAGATGACAAGGGGAGTACAATTTTCCCGCGTCGAGAGAGGGGCCCCTGTTCCTGGTTCATCGCATGGGTTTTCTCGAAAGGTATCGCCATCCTCCCATTCTGTGCATTTGCTTCTCATTTTGCTGGACCCCACCTTTCCGTCTCCGTCGCCCGCGATGACAGCCGATGTCACTTCACTTCCTCAGCCAGGGGGGTTTACTGATGGTGGGTGAGAGTCGCTCACTCGCTCTCCCTAAGAAAAGATAGGAAGCAGGCTGCATTTCTCCCTACCCTACCCTTCTTCACCTGAAATCACTCCTATGCTGTTATGCATGCTTCATGCTTCCCTGGAACGAGGTGAGCGTGATAGCCATGCAGCAGCCTCTTGCATCTGAAGTATCGTTACTTTCCGCC